AAAATTTTCTTGTTAATTTCATATGAACTAAAGAACTTGGAAGACATGATCTTGATTTTGAGTTATTGCTTGATAATAAAAGCATCCAGGCAGAATTCTACCTCACTATGTACTTTTAAAATTTAAATCTTGTTCCACTTATTTTTATGAGCCAAGGATGTTTATGCGCAGCTGACCCTCTGAAGATGGCTATGGTTAGCATTGAGAACAACCTTTCTCCTCCAGAAACTCTTCAAAAGCTGTCAGAAAGTCTCACTTCTTTGCTGCCTTTGCTTTCAGTATGTTTCTATAGCTCCTCCTCTTTTTAAGTTTTATGTTTATCTATCCCATACATTCATTTTTATGTGACCTCCTATTCAAACATATGGAGTGCAAGAAAAAGTAATCCATATAGACTACAAAAAAAAAGGAGTGCAAGAAACATATATGCTTATAAACTTCCTAAACGTTATTTGATCTGCTGTAACTCTATCCGCCAACGTTCATAAAAAAGACTTGATTTGTACATCTTTTTCAGGAGATCTCTACTTTAAGAAATGATTATTTATTTATTTATGCAAGTCTAGAAAAGCATATAGAGTACAGACATACAGTTGCATTTGTCGGAAAGGAGAAGTATCCATTTCTTTTAACCACTATTTTCAGAAGTCCTTGTGCTCTTAGTCCTCAGAAGAATCGGTTACAACCTTTTCTAGAGCGATTTAATCACCTAGATATATTTTCTTATTATTGTTTTAGATTTCATCCCTTTCATTTATCAGCAATTGGCAGATATCATACCAAGGGATGCTCTTTTGTGGAAGCTCAAGCTTCTTAAGTCAGGAGCAGCCTATGCCAACTCTCGTCTTCATGCTGTACAAGCTGAAGTTCTGTTTCTTGCCAGGTACTCATCATAATGGTGCTGCCTAAATCCTCATTCTCTAGTCTTGTTTGACTTTCTATGTCTAACTGTTTGATCTGATACTCTCCATATTAATTAATTTATTTAGTGGCAAAGACAATCTTCTGCCGAGTGGAGAAGAGGCAGATCGACTGTTCAAGGCACTGAAAAACTGCAGAGTTCGATACTTCAAGGAAAATGGCCATACACTACTCTTGGTACACTCACAATTCATCAAAGCGTTTCGGAGCCAGTCCGGTGTTTTCATTTCAATATTCATGCCAATCACTGTATTTTTTGGAGTACAATTTTGAACTTCATATTTTCCTTGCACAGGAGGATGGTGTGAATCTGTTATCTGTTATAAAAGGTGCAAACATGTACCGCCGTGGCAGGCAACGGGACTTTGTGACCGACTACCTTCCCCCTACACTAAGTGAGTTCAAGAAAACATTTGATGAAGACCACAAGTATGTATTCAACTTCTGAGAGTGCTTCCCTACTTGCATAGATCTAGTAAGTGAAAAACTTATAACCTTTTGCAGATTGTTTCACCTTGCACTGAGCCCAGTCATGATGTCTACTCTGACAAATGGAAAAATTGTCCGTGGCCTTGCTGGTATTCCTGACCAAGGTCCTGTCTTGTTTGTGGGTTATCATGCACTGATGGGGATCGAGTTAAGCCCATTGTATGAAGAGTTTTTGAGGGAGAAGAACACGATTGTTCGTGGCATGGCTCATCCAATGTTGTTTGGATCAAAATATGAGACCTCGCGCCAGGAGTCGTCTCGGTTTGATACAGTCTCTATGTATGGCGGATTACCAGTCACTCCAATCAATATGTACAGGCTGTTTGAGAGAAATCAATATGTTCTCCTCTATCCTGGTGGTGCTCGGGAAGCTCTACATAGGAAGGTGTGCTTAATGTCTCCATATCTCTATTAAGCCTTGACATAACCATTAGGGGCGGGTTCTGAAAAAGCATTATGGGCAGTTTAGGAGAATGATATTTCTTGGTAAAGGACTAGTATTTAAGTCAAATTTGACTAAATTCCTGAAGTTTACCACAGAATACCACTCTTCCAAACATGCTCAGTTTCACCACATGGAACTATTTTTGCAAACACCTAATTTAGCACATCAGATTTTGTTATTAGGAGTGTGCTCACATGTACAAAAATAGTACTCCCTCCGTCCGAGAAAGCTTGTCCCAAGCTTGTCCCTCAAATGGATGTATCTAGCACTAACTTGGTGTTAGATACATCCATTTGAGGGACAAGCTTTTTCGGACAGAGGGAGCATGATCAAGGCTAGCGTCTAACAAGTATTCCACAAGGACCATGACTTAAAACACAGACAAAAAAAATGGTATCTCAGAGTTATAGTAGACTTTACCCTTTTTTTCTAATGTAATAATTGAGCTGGATTTGGCAGGGTGAAGAATACAAGTTGTTTTGGCCAGATCAGCCAGAATTTGTAAGGATGGCGGCAAGGTTTGGTGTTACAGTCGTTCCATTTGGGTTTGTCGGAGAAGATGACATTTTAGAGGTAGCTTTCCTAATCCTTCTTTTGTTTCTATAGGAGAAATCAACACTGTTAAATCTCTATTTCTAAAAATATCATTGAAAGTCGAAATTTGTATTCATATGTCATACCATTTGAAATCTTGACCAGTTGAACTTTTATTTATCTTTTACATTATAATGGAAGCCTTTTCTCAGTGGAGCCAGTTTTTGGCCAAAAAGACTCAAAGTGGTCGGACCCTTCCCCGGACCCTGCGCAAGCGGGAGCTACGTGCACTAGGCTGCCCTTTTAGATAATGGAAGCCTTATTACCCCCGGCCTCTCCATCATAGATGCAGAGACAAAAAATTTGACTTCGCTGAGAAAAGGGGGAGACGAAAATATCAATACAATCAAATGAAAGTAGGTAGTAACATACCGACCAAGGCAAAGACTAAGAAACCTGTCAATCGCATGCCATCCAAACCGGGACATAAACCCCTTGGTAATACATTTGAGCCGCTTGGCGCCAAGCTCCATAGGCTCCTTGTGCTGTGCCTTCTGTAACAACGCTCATGACTACATCCAACTCATACACGAGAGTAACACCTGCATACATGATTGAACTTTTTGCTGTCACAAACATCGTAATGAAAAGGCAGCGCTCCTGCTGGTTGCTTGAAAAAACATCATTTATGCATAGCCAAATAGACCAAAATACCGCTGCAGCCCCACCAAGCTGAAGTTTTGTAGTCTTCAGAAGTCAACTTACCGATTACATAAAGGTGAAAGCATGTTTTATTCAAGGAAAAATAACATGAAAGCATGGCACAGAAAATGACTTTGAAGATATAGAAAAAGACACAAACTCGAGATCTCCGCAGGACATGTGTGGTGATAACACATTTGTAACCAAGGTTGAGTAGCAGATTTTGGGGAAAGCTATACAAAGTTTATTTGTGTTTTCTTTCTGCAGTTGGTTCTGGATTACAATGATCAAAAGAACATTCCGTACCTTCGGGAGTGGATAGAGTCAATCAACAAAGACGGCCAGAGAGTGAGGTCAGATTTAATTTCCAAACAAATGAATCAAGTGTTCTGATCTTACCTTTGTGCGATTGCTTACTTGGACTCTTTTTCATTCTGCTGTGAATATTTTTCATTTCAGAGATAGCGTCAAAGGAGAGGAAGGGAATCAGGACATGCACATACCTGCTATTGTTCCCAAAGTACCGGGACGATTCTACTACCTTTTTGGCAAACCAATCAAAATGGAAGGGATGAACAATGTTCTGACGGACAGGGAGAGCGCAAATAAAGTGTATTTACATATCAAATCAGAAGTCGAGAACGCAATGGCATACTTACAGAGGAAGAGGGAGGAAGACCCTTACAGGAGTATAGCTCAGCGTGCTGTGTACCAGGCAACTCAGGGTGTTTCTGCTCAAGTCCCAACTTTTGAACCATGAAGACTAGGTGCAAATATATTCCTGTGATAGTGTGACTGCACATTGGCAGATAGTAGGTATCCATTATAGCAGAGTATAACACAGTACATAATGTGTAGCTAACAGATGTATCTGAATATTTGTATTACGTTTTGAATGTACATGTTACTTACTCATTGGTAGTGATTAATTAACACCAAAATGTTACTGATTATTTGATACTTGTTCACAATAAAGGGTCTCTTTTATCTCTCTACTATGTAGTCAATGTGAAAGCACACCACCTAAAGTGACAGGTGCACCACATGTGTTCACCTTTGTGACAACTTCTTTAGGAGAAGATGTTATACTGGCTACCAACGATTTTATTTATTTAAAAAAAGCACTGCTAGGTGTGCCCTTAAGCATGCCTAGGCGCTAGGCGACAGTAGAACGCCTAGCCTTGAGGGCTCTAGGCAGAAGCAAAATAGGAATTTAGACCTAGGGCTTTTCTGAACCTGCTGGCTACCTGGCATGTTTTGAAAAGATTTCACATGTAGGTGGTTTGACACACAGTAAGATACCATAGATTTCAAAGGGAAAAAAACATGCAAGTTACTGCAATAACTTTAGAAAACTCCTTGGGACTTCCACTGTTCCACACTTCGACATTTCTACCTTATTACATGGACCTATTTATGATTTACGGCCAAAAGCTGTGGTCTCAGCAGCCTGAGAGAACAAGAGCGCCACCATTATTTCTTCACTGGTGAATGATAAAACTTAAATGTTTGACAGAAAACCACTGGAAAATAAGGGCTCAACGACTGGTTTGTAAACACCAGAATATAACTCAAGTTTGTGAACACAGGAAAATAAGGACTCAACAACTGGTTGATAACATGTCTTAAAGATCAGAAATCAGTAACAGAAGAAATGGAACAAGCCAACAAGATTAATATTGGCATGACATGACACAACGTAGATGCTCTGCAAAGACATTTGCCATAGAATAAGATAGAGCCCAGGCAGAGAGCGGGAAAAAGGAGGATAATCGTAGCATAAGCTCCATGTTTCCTATTTGCATTTATTCTAAGTTACTAGCTGATGTGTCAATTAGCAGAGCTGAGACGGTCCAAAGATAACTCTAGCATGACACCATTTCACTTCTCCTTTCAGAAGAATAAAACTTCATTCAACACCAAATCCCTTCTCTTGTAGTTCATGTGCAACCTCATTCCTCATTCGGAACCAGAGGTTTTGTGCCTCCTGGTCAAACTTTTTCGACTGTAGTTGCTTCTGCATTTTATCAGAGTCCACATTTGTATCCGCAAAACCTTTGGGCCCGATCGTGGTACCTAGAGCACCCTCACTTTTTATGAACTCCTCAACTGCCTCTTCATCACCAGGGTAGGGAAACTCCCTGCGCTCATAAAGATGTGCCATTTCTTTTTCTTCCTGGAAAATATTGAAGATAGTTTTTAGAAAACTATAAACTGGAAGGGCATGAATCAGTGGAAGGGTGAACATTAGCAAATAGAAGTTACCTATCACGGTCTTGTAGAAGAGATATTCACCTTAAGTGATCGTTATATATAATCATATTTCTCCAAGGGATAATTCTGGTGTCACATAAGATATATAATCCAGTGCATCATAGAAGTTCCTTTTCATCATAACTTAATGTTTGAGTGTTGAAGGTGGCATATATAAGGAGAACTCGTCATATATAAGGAGAACTCGTCGAATGATAATCAATGACCAGAATATGCTGTTTCAGTAAAACCTGAGGCATGTGCAAGATTTGCAGCTACGATCAATGCATGATCAACCCCACAAAAAGTTGTATGAATCGCATCTCATCAAGAAAACGGCATGCATCTTGTTAATTGCGTAGCCAAAGTCGCTGCTTAGTTGATGCAGTGATGGACGGATGTCATACAACCATCCTTTTCGGAAAAAGAAGTTATGGATGGATGTCACACAACGAAGCTATGGAATGGAGAGTGCCTGGATTAACGTATGTCTTACTGTAAGACCACAGCGTGGGACGCATTGACATTATATACAGGCAGTTCTGAACCATAGTTCCAGAAAATGAGCATTCAGGTAGATGAACTTCATTGCACTCGATAGAATCTTGTACTAGTAAAACAAAAGGTGGCACCAATTCATTTCTGCCTCAACCAAGGCTCACCAGCCATAGTACCTACCTTGGGGAGTGGCTTGAGCGTCCACCAACCAAGCGGCGACGTCTCATTCCAGAGCCATGCTGCGCCGAAAAGCGCGTAGGTGCAGAGCATGCCCTTGCCAATCTGCTTAAAGAAGTAGGCATCCCTCTTGTCGAACCCCATCCTCCTGATCCCCCAAAGCAACAAGAACAGAGACGACATCAATGGTTAATCCGTGCGGAGAGGGAGAGGGAGAGCCAGGTATGGGATGCTCGTGCCCGCTTACCTGAGGAGCGGACGGGCCTGAGGGAAGCTGCGCAGCATCGCGTCACCTGCGGGACAAATATAGGAGGAAAGTGAAGACAAGAGGGTTTTAGTCACTGCGGCATTTGGTCGAGCAGGTAGGCGTATGTATGCCGGTGAAGCGATTTGAATCACTGTAATTAACAGAACTAGTGTCGTTTTACTCAGAGACTGAGAGGCAGTAGTACTAGAATAGAAGAGGAAACAAGTTAGGAAAAAAAAGAGAGGATAATTCACCTAACATACTGTACTGGAGATAGAAATGCTAGGGTTAGAGGGAGAGCAAAGGAGAGAGAAGCAGCTCACAAGGGCCCGTGAGTCCGTGACCAGGATGCGATCGGGAGGGCTGCCTCGCGGGCCCTCGTGTCTTCTATTCTGGAGAAAAGTTGGCTCCCTAAAAAACCACTTGTCATATGGCAGTGCAACAAATATATATCAAAGTAACAAAAATTACCTAGGGATGACTATAAGTATTAGCGCGAGTCAAAGACATGCCGCTGTCATCACCTCTTCCATGCCAGAGCCCAACAAACCTGTTGTGAAATCATCGTGCTACACCAACCATCTAATAAAGAAAAGCGTAGATCAAAAGGATCAAACATGTAGACACATGACCGAAGACTGGATCTAGACAGATCCACCGAAGACCAACACCGATTGAATCCCACGAGATCCGACGGAGGCACACCGCCACATACCCTCTGACGGTGCTAGACGCGCTACCGTGACGGGGACCAGACGTTAGACATTATTACTACTATGGGATTAAGACGCTGAACCAAACAAGAGCAAAAGTTGTGCCCCTCCCACCGGCGAGGGGTAGGAGGTCTTTCGCACCTTCGTGATTCAAAGGACATCAAAGGCGGGGCAGACCGGCAACAGAGCCGACGGAAGGAGGAAAAATCCTAGTCGCCTCGGAGTTACTTCTTGGGAAGAATTACATGTGTGTCTAATATGCAGCTTCTCAACTTGTGCATGTCTAAATGTTAAGGCCTCACCCAATGCATATGTGCTTAAATGATGCGCTAAGTGCATGAAAGGGTTTAACAACTAAACTCCTAAATACATATATTATGAGCTTTTTCTTGCTAAGCTTCATGAATTTAATTAGTTGTACACTCTAAATTGTGTTCTTGCCTAGGTACATGTGTCTAGCATCGTTTCGTTCCGAGTCATCAAACTCTTCTTTCTCCTCTTAGGGCCAGTTCTTTTGTGGATTCTCGGATAATCGGACCTCTCCCCACCTTCTCCTAGAATCTTCAATACCTATTCGTTTGATAGTCCTAGCAAACTAGACCCTAACTGCAATTTAATCGATACACAACTGTAATTTATTCGTCACATCATATTATTTTTTAACTGAAGAGATGCCACTCATGAAACTATGGATCCCAGTCTCCCACTCCATTCATCCTTATTGCTTTTAACCTTGATCAACGTACTTTCAGTTACTTTTACAATCTGAATTTATTTCTCTTGTTGCAATCAATACTTCTAAACACAAGTTGCATTAATTCTTATAACTAGCAAGGCTAATAAGACTAACAATCTTACTAGTTTCGTTTGGGGCCGAGGCAAGTTCTGTATTTTTGGTGCAGGTACTGATTATTAGCAGCAATTCAAAGCTCATGTGTCTTCGATAAACCTTAAGGTTATTCACTTGGAGAAAATTGTTGCTTACTACAAACATTTGCATTTGAGGCCCAACACCTTCCTAGATTAGAGCAAGCACATGTCAAGGCACTAGTCATTGTAACATCCCGATTCTCGGAATGTATGAAAAAGTTTACCAAAAATCAGGGCGAGAAAATTTCAGTTGTTTTATTTGGTAGCAAAGCTTAAATTGGACATTTATAATTTGGAATATTTAAATTGAACTAATGCCAACTTAAATTGAAATGAGTTTTCTTGTTCTCTTTTTGTAGAATATTTTTTTCTTGTCTTGGGCATTTGCATTTTTGGCACTTCGTTCGATGTTTTGTTTGATCTTCTATTCCTTTTTAGATTTTTCCTTTTAGGTAAATCTAATTTGTTTCCTCTCTCATAATCTAGGAAAAAAATCCCTTGTTCAACATCTCTTCTATGTACAGCCAACATCTTTCTCTTATTTATTTTTATCTCTCAAACAACATGGGCCAAGATGTTCCGTTTAATTTTTCCTTCTCACTCCCCACTTGGGCCTTGGCCTATTCCATAACGTGGTGGCTCACCTCTCCCTCAGGTACTCATCATAAACCAACAGAGAAGAGAAGAGACAACGCACACTGGAAACCCTCCTTTTTCTCCATTCAATTGCTATTGTTTCCAAGTCTGAAAACTGGCCCAACTTCTCTCCCAGCGAGCGAACGCCTCTTCTCCTCCTCCTCTGCCTTAGAGCATCTCCAACGGTCGCACAAAAATTCCGCGCAAATAAACATTATAGCGCGCCACTGTAGCATTTTTAAAGCGTCGGGACCAACTTTGCTTTAGCAGGTGCCCAAAAACACGCGCCCAAAAAACAGACAGTGCAAATTATGAAGCGCGCGCAATGCGACACCCCAAATATGCTGCACGCGACAGCGTTTTTCAGTACGCGCACAAAAACTTTTAGCGCTACAGCTTCTGCTGGAGCTGTCCGGCGCCAAAAAAACAAACTTTTAGCGCGCGGAGCTCTTTTTGGGTGCCTGTTGGAGATGCTCTTATACGTTCCTAACTAACCTACATAAGAGAAACAGTCAGTGCGTACTTTCATTGCTGCCCTCCTCTAATTCCCATAAAGCTCATCCCTTTGCAAAAACTGAAGACACCATCATAATCCCCTCCACCTCCTCTTTCAAATCCCGTAGCAACTCCTGCCGTTTGCCGTCCTCAATCTCTTCAGAACTCCTCTGTAGTGTCGCTACTCCATGGACGCCGGTGCTCGTTTCCGGTGACGTAGACCATCTCCATCAGCACCCTTGCGCCTCAAGGTCCATCTCAACACCACGAATCCATTCAGAGAAGAATGACCACGTTTCGTGTACCACACGCGAAGAATTCAGCATGCTCGTCTACACTGTTCATCGAGTTCTTGGGATCGATTCTTCGCACTCGGTGAGTTTCGATCCAATTCCTTTTGTGCACCTTCAAAATATCACTAAGTTATCTCCTAGACATCATGGTTCCTCCTGTTTTTGTCGTTGGGCACGCGGATGACGCCGCACACATGAACATAATATTTTTCAGTGGCTTATTCATGTTTTCGTTGTTTTTGTTCACTGGTTGATCTCGGGCACAATAGGTGAAACATTCTATATGGTTGTAGCAACCCCGTGGAGGAGATAGATTACTTGTTTAGTCAATCGAGATTTAATATAGATTTTATCTAGCCTCTCTTGTTGATTAAAACAATAGTTTTAAAATAGTGTTGCATGGTTATGTGTAGAATTCATCGGTGAACTTTTGTGTTAATATATTGTTATTTCCATATGTTCTTGATATGCCTAGGAGTGCATGGTATACGCCTTGTAATTTTGGTGTGTCATGTCACTTGCTTGATTTATTTATCGATTTTAGTTATTTAAAATTGTTTAACATGTTGTACCACGTTGATATTTTCTTGGGTGCGGTGCATAGTCGTAGTGTATGCCTCGTACAAGCTTTGTGAATTATTACCATCTGTATGTTTGTTGTAAGGATTATTTTATCAATTGATTTTAGTTTTGTATGTTGCCTTGTGTGATATTTTTGTGTAGCATGTTTCCTTATCTTATGCACGTACAATATTTGGTGAACGTTCGCCATGTTTATAATTTTGTAGGATTTGATTTGTTTATCAAAGCATGAAATATTTCATGTCTTATTTTAATTTTGTTTGGCATGGCGATGTTTAGATATGGTTTACATATTAATTTCCATCCATGTTGCATGCTTGTTTTATCGGTTTGAATCCATGACATGCCTACGGTTGTTATTTATATATTTTTTTCTATGTGTTGTTGCATAGTTCTCTTCATACTAGATGTCTATTGAAATGCTTTGTTATTTGGAAGTGACTACATTATAGTTCGTTGCATAGAATATTATTACTTAGTTGTTACTCTTTATGATGTTATCCAAGATTATATGGTGTTGATTTCCTTTATATCATGTTGCAGATTTGTATTGCTACCTATAGGTTATGTTTGTTGCATATAATTTGCTTTATTATTTCTTGTTAATTATCCAAGTTATTTTATTTACCTAGGATGGTAGTTATGCATGCTTAGTTGATTGACATGTCATGTTAGTACTTACTCAAGTCGAAGTCATATTTGGTTGTATGCCTACCATGTGTTATATCATTGGTAGTTTGTACCTTACGTTCATACATTTGGTTAACGTTTACTTGGTAGATATATCATAGTGATTTGTTGATACCATACATTCTTTTATTTAAGAATTTCTTGCCTTATCAATACCATGTCATGATGTTAGATTGTATAACTTGATTGCATAACATGTGTGTGTACCAATCCGTGTGTTGTATGATGCATAGTTGGGTACCTTTTATATATTGCAAGTGTATCATGACTACATAGAAATGCATGTCATGATCTTGATATTCATGCTTCTATAACGCATGTTGATTTGGTTGATGAGATGATCTAGTTGTATACTTTCCTACGTGCTTAGTATGTTTCCATGTTCTCATTTATCATAACTAGCATGGTTGGGCTGTATGCTAACGTCGTGCTTGATCTGTCTCTTGTTATCTACTAGGTTATCTCATAGTTACACGTTGCATTTTATTAGTAGCATATTTTGGTATCTCGTGTGATGATCATCCATGCTTACCATCATATCTGGTCTATCTTACTATTGCATTTGTGGTATGCCTAAGTCTAGACATCAAGTCATGCTAGTCATCTTTCATGTGTTATTATATTCCATGTGTTATAGTTGTACTTGTGTTGCTCATATATGCTTGACTTGTCTCATGTTAGTATCATCAGTGTTTTATATGTGTTGCAATTGTTCATCACACGCTTAGAATAGTTTACCTTTCATGTTAGTTGAGTTGTATCTTTCTCATATGCTTAGTGTGCATAGTTTTATATCTTGTTTAAGAATGTGCCAGTAATATTATTGCTACTGGTTATTTGGGTATTAGTTGTTCTTTATTATTAAGAGCATATTCTAGTTTAGTATCTTATCATGATAACTCGTATGTGTGATGCTTGCATTACTCATTTGGACATCTAGTGATTCTATACTCATATGTCTTGTGTGAAATGTGTGTTATTA